TGCTGTACTCTTTGGGCTGAAGTCATGTCCAAAGAGTATAATTTCAATCGACAAGAGATTGAAGTGAATGCTATTAGAGAGCTCTCAAAGCAAGATATCGTTGACTTCTTGAAGGTTTCAATTGATTGTTTAGTTTTATTAATATTTTATTACATAATATAACAATAATTGTGGTTAAAACAGAAACATCTGTCCAAAGCCTCTCCCGATCGCCGCAAACTGACTGTCAGTATCGCAACTGAGACCCCAATCAATGAAAAGGATGTGAAAGATGTCAACACCGATGATATGCCCGCACCGACTGAAATACCGGTGAATTTATAATTTAATTAAATAATTACAAGCAAAATATCATAATTTACATTCACTTATAATTGTTTTTATTGATCATTATTAAGGAATCGACACGAATTAAAAACATACCGGGATTTAAGACCCAATTCGGATACTATTCCCGTCCCAAACCTCTCATCGATGTCTTTGCTTTTGAGTCAACTAAAGCTCAATAAACAATACAATTATACAATTTAAATATTATTTATTATAATTACTGCAAACCTATCGACTGAATGCTTTCATAATTCTCAATATTAAACATTAATATTCTTGTAAACATTATTTATAAAATTATTTCATTTATAAGTTGTTTTTGTAGTAATTTTAAGCGTTTTAAATATTGTAATGAATTGCATTGTACTAAAGTAATTTTTAATAAAATAATTAAATACATGTAAATTCATTGAAATTGCTTTGCATTGAAGTACTGTATGTGTAATGAACTGCTAAATGACTAAATAACCGCTTATATAATACTAGCCCTACGCCTAGTATTGCCAGAAATAAATTGCCTCAAATCGAGTTTAGCCAAAATGCTAAATAAATATCTGAATGTTTTGAATGAGACCAACGATTCAGTGGCCGAAAGCAATGAGAGTATAGTTAAGCCAAACGATGATAAACGCGATTATAAGGCAATCGTATTAACAAATGGTCTGAAAGTATTGCTTATTAGCGATAGAGAGACCGATAAGAGTGCGGCCGCTCTCACTGTTGGCGTCGGCTCTATGAGTGATNTCGTATTAACAAATGGTCTGAAAGTATTGCTTATTAGCGATAGAGAGACCGATAAGAGTGCGGCCGCTCTCACTGTTGGCGTCGGCTCTATGAGTGATCCCCGGGATGTCCAGGGATTGGCTCACTTCGCACATAATTTATTGGCCGAGTGTTTAGTCACTGCAATGAGTGGTAAATGTTTGTACGGTTGTAGACTTGTATCGTTAGTTTCTGTTGCGAAACCGATACTGACATTTCAATCTCTATTATACTTGTAGACTATTAAACGGACTAAAACTTGAATTAATAAATGGTTGTCTGATTTATAAATTTATTGCTATTTTAGTATAGAATAAAAAAAATATTGTTACCGGTGTCATTTAATCGTTTTGTAAATGATCACGATTGTCTGCCAATATCTTATTTAATTTTAATAACTCGATTCACTACAATATAACCTACATAAAATTGCTAATTAAATAATTCGGGAAATTAAAAATATATTACTCTAATAAAATTGAATTAGGTAACTTTATTATAATGACTACTCGTGCCTTTTTTATTAGTGATGACGGAATTGGTGAATATGATAATTGCTTAACAAGTAAATTATAAATTCAATGTTTCGTGAATAAAATGTTATCAGTATATCATTACGTGTTTTATAAAATAATTTTATATAAACTGTGATGAATCGATTCAACACATAATTCTTTGCCTATATTTGCTTGAATTTAATAATCAAATCAAACTTTATTTGAATCTCTATCAACAAAAGCTGTTTTACATAGAAATTAATATAAAACATATAATTTAAAATTAAATCTAAAAATGTTTGCAAAATGTTATTATCAGTTAATCGTCAGATAAGAACATATAATTATTGCTACTATTCTTACTAACATTAATTAAATTAAAATTAATTTTTCCTTAATTATAATTTATACGATTGCATAAATTAGTTTTACAAATAATTATTATGGAATAATTTACATTACTAGAATATATTATGGCAGATCGTTTAAATAACCAAGATAAAATACGGGCAACTTATGGGATATTAAAATTAAGAATTAATGGACTTATTTTATTAAACATCTAAAATCATATTTTTATTATTTTCCTGATAGATGTGATAAAAAATTAATTATACAATAAATTACAGATATTGTGAATAATAAATATGTCAACTAATTATTAATACGACATGTACGGTTATATTAATAATTATATTTTCACAATAATTGCAAAAGCATCAATGTGATAGATTATATACATGTACATGACGTTTGATATTATCCAATAATATTGTAGGTAAGACATGGTCTCAAAACTATATAAGCCGGGCCAACCACTGGTGTTAGAATTAATCATTTTTGTGCGCTTCTAATTGTTTGAAAAGCCCATTATTATATGTTTTTGCAATAGTATTACTATTCATAAAAATAGATATAAAAATGTCATTCAATGATATAGTAATCTCTGGAATGAGCGGTCGGTTCCCCCTCTCCGACAACACCGACGAGTTTGCGGACAATCTCTTCAATGGAATCGATTTGATTACCGAAGACAACACCCGATGGCCTACAGGATTAATTACAATATATTTATAATTATAATTAAAAAGCAATACTTTGTTAATTTGAACGCATAATAGGCTTTAGGTTTTCTGTATTCAAAGTCCTGTAAATACCAAACGCGAGAAAACTCGTTGTTTCTGATTATTTGAGGCTCTATTTGATTGTTGTCTTCAATTGGTTTGACGTTTAGATTATAGGGAATGAAGTCATTGGGCGGCGGAAGCGCTAAACGCTCGTTGAGTCCAATATTTAGCCACAATTTAGTCTTCTCCGGAGGAATGTCTTGAAATGAGTATTTGGTTCCATACCAGCGCTCCGTTTGATCCACTATTGACTCATACTTTTTGCCCACAACTCTCACTCGCATCCGATCGGCGTTTAACTCGTTCAGCACTTCTGTGGTCAGCTCTGGTTTGTATTCATCCATACGATAAGACACACGCAATACGTCTTCAATTGGGTATAACTTTTATGCAACAAAAACATAGAGAAAATACAATAATTAATAAAACCGTTTATCACATAATAATAAACAATTCAATTATCAATACCAGTAAAGTGTGAACCAAATGCTGGACATAACTGATTGGTTGGGACTTCTCTTCGCACTGGAAATTAATTTCCAACATTTGCTTCAATTCATTGTAAACCCATTGTTTGGGTCCTTCACTCTAAGTAAACAATAATCATTATTAAAAGTAATCTAGGTTAAAAACAAACACATACTTTAAGCATATTTATGTATTGTATGGCCAGAGCGATGATGTCTTCGGTGTGATCGACACCCTCTTCGGTCAAATCGACGGTAATCTTGAAAAAGTCGAACCCCTGGTGATCACTGCCGCCG